TGCAGTACATATGAAGGCGGTCTGCTTAATATCAAAAGGACATGGAAAATTTCTCTCGCGCGGTGATCAATCATTCATTAGCGCGGCGTCTGGGGGAGACGTGACGCTACTGTAAAATGTAGAATAAAACCCTCCACGCTTTACGTATGTATCCAGAACCAGGCTTTATCCAGAACCATGAACCGTGCCTATCTAGTTCTGTGCCTGAATGGGTTAGGGTTAGGATCAGGCACGGTTCTGGATACGACGGAGACTATACGATAGATCCTTACCCTAACAAATTCAGGCAAAGAACTAGATAGGCACGGTTCTGGGTATAATAGAGACTATCCATAACTGTGCCTGATCCTAACCTAACCCATTCAGGTATAGAACTAGATAGGCACGGTTGTATAACGGTTGTATATTTTTAAGTGGAAAATTGATATGTACATTGGTAATAGCTTTGAATCCTTAACGACAATTTTGACAGAGAAACATAAGTCAGACTCAGAACGTCTAGTCTGTGAGTGTTTTAAATTAATAAAGCTTGACACAGTTCTGGATAGTTTTGGTTGTATATTTTTAAGTGGAAAATTGATGTGTAGATAAGTAGAAACTTTGAAGCTTTACCGACAATTTTGACAGAGAAACATAAGTCAGACTCAGAACGTCTAGTCTGGTAGTTGTTTTAATAAAGCTTGACTTGACATTAAGTCGTGTACCGGGAACCAGGTGGCATGACGGCAGAGTAAAGTACGGGCACGTTAAACATCAGGAGGAGATGGGGCATTTCTTTCGCGCAAACATCAATCACCCATTAGCAGAACGTAACGTTTGGCTGGTCGCTAGGAGACGGGTCGAACCGCGTAGTTCAGTAACCCCTCCGTGAGGGTCTGCATGTGGGGATCCTGGAAACACTTCGAGAACGTTGCCAATGGTTAAAATGGACTTGCTTTTGCAAACAGTTTTGGGAACCATTTTATTAAACTGTAAAGATAGAGGCAACCAGTGTGTGTGTAGGGGGGGGGGGGCAATTACTTTATTCAGAACCGTGCCTAGTCTAGTTAAAATCTATGTCTGAATGGTTTAGGGTTAGGATCAGGCACGGTTCTGGATAGTCTCCGCGTATCTAAGAACGTGGATTTACGGTTCTAGATACACTTGGACTATCCAGGATCGTGCCTGACCATGGTTCTGGATGAGGTACGGTTCTGGACAACAGCTCGCTACTGCTGACTGCATTCAGACCCTCATCCATACATGTGTCCCGGGAAGCAGGTGGCGTGTGGTTACAGAAATGTTAAACCTCTCTCCGTGTCGGCAGCACCACACGCCACGGCGGGCTGGGGAATGTCACCAGGAGGAGACGGAATATTTCTCTCTCACACCGATCCGTCAAAAAAAAGTTGCTTTCATGATAAAATCTACGTGGTCATGAAGGTTGAACAAATGAGAGTATAGTTTGGCGGATAATCTACTCTTCAATTCATTTCTTTACATTTTTTTTGTTTGATTTTGACATTCTACGATATTGCCTGGTATCTATAATATTCTTTTTGCAACTTACGGTATATATTTTCTCATTTTGCAACTGTTGCAACGACTTACAGCACGGTTGAAAACTTCTTTTTTTTTTTTTGGAAACGGCCGAAAATTTATGAGCGCGTGGATGTCATCCATATAATCAAATCAACATGGCCCAAATGTCAGACGGGAAGGAATATTTCTCTCGCGCACCGATCCGTCACCATTTCATAGCGGGGCGTAACGCGCGCATTTGCCGCTTGTTATGTTATGAGACGTCACAGACTGCAAAGTGCAACAACCTTCCGTACGCATACTAATCTCCAAGCAGATCTTTTTGTGGCTGTAAGAAAGCATCAAATTAGAAAGACAGTGTCAAGTTGGCAAGGAAATATCCAATACGCCACCAAAGTTAGGCTGGCGAACAAAGACGCCAGACTGAGTACAAAAAGCGAACGGCTTGTTACACTCAATGTTTGCACATTTAATTGCAGGAGTTGTTTAAAGCTTTCTAGCGATGATGTCCCAACTGTGCTTGGTGGCAACGAGTTCCAGTCTACGATAGTTCTTGGAGTTTTTGGTTTTTGAACACCTCAATTCTTGGTTAATAACTCTGATATTTGAAGGCATGACATATCATACTGAGCCGCTCCACCACAGCTGAACCTCGGAACTCGACCTGCATACGCTCCGTGCTTGCCGGGCTCAGGTGGCGGGATGTAGCAGACAGGGCGGCCGTCTGTCATGCCGGTTGGCTACAGGCCAGGCAGACGGACTAACAACTCTCAACTGTCACTAATGCTCTCAGGACGGCCGGGCAGGCAACTGTCACTAATTCTCTCAGGACGGCCGGGCAGGCAACTGTCACTAATGCTCTCAGGACGGCCGGGCAGGCAACTGTCACTAATGCTCTCAGGACGGCCGGGCAGGCAACTGTCACTAATGGGGAGAGACAAAGGCATGGAGATCAACCACAACATGTACACAGTAGCAGCGTTAAGGGGCGGGTGGGGGTGTGGCGTATCTGAGAACCGTGCTTTATCCAGAGCCGTGCTCTATCCAGAACCATGCTCATGAACGGTTTTGGATAGTCCACATGTATCCAGAACAGTGCTTTATCCAGAACAGCTCTCAGGACGGCCGGGCAGGCAACTGTCACTAATGGGGAGAGACAAAGGCATGGAGATCAACCACAACATGTACACAGTAGCAGTGTTAAGGGGCGGTTAGGGGCGGGGGGTGTTGTATCCAGAACCGTGCTTTATCCAGAGCAATGCTCAAGACACGGTTTGGGATAGTCCACGCGTATCCAGAACCGTGCCTTATCCAGAACCATTCCTAGACACAGTTCTGGATAGTCCACACGTATCCAGAACCGTGCTATATCCAGAACCGTGCCTGGGGCAAATCTACGATCTTGGATACGGGGAGACCCATTCAGGCATAGAACTAGCCAGGCCCGGCTCTGGATACCATAGCAGGCGTAGAGATCACCCACAGCATGTCAACAGTATCTGTGCGGAGGAGTGGGTGGGGAGGTTGGGTGGGAAGTTTGCCTTGGCCGCCGCTACACTTCCCACTTCTGGTGGTCTGAACCGTGAGAATACCCCAACCTTGTACAGGGCGGGGGTTCCTGTGCTTTGCAAATGGTTTCAAACTCACTTGTCAAGGGAAAGTTTCAGACCCCGCATGATCTCTTAAGTACTTTCTCGCCAATTTCTGATTATTACTAGGTTCTAATCGGTCTAAAGGAGTCTTCTTTGACCACACTAATGTCTTCAGATACTTTTTCCCTTTATTTCACTTCAAATTTGGTCTAGTTAACGAACAGTTTGTCTTTATGAATTTGAATTCGAAGTATAGCGAAGTCCCGAGTGTCCACGAGGTCAGCTGTACCGTGTGAGCTACTGCGGAGAAGCCTGGTGACGAGGCTATCCAGCTGCAGAGAGGCCTGCTAACGAGGCTACACCCCCAGGAAAGGTGAATGCCCTGCAGTAGCGGGTGTTGTTGAGGTCAGCAGGACGGCTTGTCAGGACCGGGAACAGTTTACACCCATCTAATCAGCCGGCAATCACGGGAACTGCAGAGTAGCCTGATGACTAGGCTATTTTCTATACTGCTGCAGAGAGGCCTGCTAACGAGGCTAATACACCCCAGGAAAGGTGAATGCCCTGCAGTAGCGGGTGTTGTTGAGGTCAGCAGCAGCAGGCTTGTCAGGACCGGGAACAGTTTACACCCATCTAATCAGCCGGCAATCACGGGAACTGCAGAGTAGCCTGATGACTAGGCTATTTTCTATACTGCTGCAGAGAGGCCTGCTAACGAGGCTACACCCCCAGGAAAGGTGAATGCCCTGCAGTAGCGGGTGTTGTTGAGGTCAGCAGCACGGCTTGTCAGGACCAGTAGGAACAGTTTACACCCATCGCGGTAAGACTGACACGATGTGTACTGTAGCGCACTCCGGGGCAGGCACGGAGCACAGCGGGCATGGGAACCACACGGATGAACTTTCAGGGACACCGAGAGCGGCTCCATAACCGGGCCTGTCTAGTTCTGTGGCTGAATGGTTAGGATCAGGCACGGTTCTGGATAGTTTACGTGTATCCAAGAACGTAGATTTGCTCCTGACACGGTTCTGGATAAAACAAACTATAGCTACTCATACTCATATGTGGTTTATATGGAGATTTAATAGTTCCGGACATTTCGAGTGACATCTTAACACACGGCTGAACTTTCAGGGACACCGAGCGGGTCCAAAACCGGGCCTGTCTAGTTCTGTGCCTGAATGGGTCAGGGTTAGCACCAGGCACGGTTTTAGATAGAAGTAGTTTCGGCGTATCCAAGAACGTAGATTTGCTCCAGACACGGTTCTGGATACGCGTTGATATTAAAAGGTTAGACATCGAATTATTAAACGATTCTCAAAGCTACTTCAAATACGGAAATGAAAAAGGGCAACTAAAAAAATTATGGGCAGCTAAAAAAGTTTCAAACGGCGTTTGGCTTTTAATAGATGACGGTAATGTGAGAATGTAAACTTGTGGTGAAGTCCAAGTTCAACCCGCCCCGTGTGAGGTGATTTCACAGCGGTTTACCGGGAAGTCACGCCACTTGTAGCCACTTGTAGCTCCCTGCACGACATGTAGCGTGCAAACGCACCATTTTCTGCAACAACCGGCTGTTTTCTGTTGCCCCGATGGCTTACAGTTAGATCTGCGGTGCTGAAGTTGTGACGTAGTACAACCAGCCGTCGCCGTCTGCTTTAAACTGCGCCCAATACGCACTTAACACAACTTTCCTCACTTAACTCAAGTGAAAATGAGTATTGTCCTGTTCCGTAGTTGTCCTCTGTTTTGGTGACGGTATAAAATAAGTTGATATAACTTGAGTGTGCCGTCACCATGTCCAGTCATGAAAATTTTGGAATAAAAAAATAGTGCTGGGTTTGTGTTCCTGACGTTTTTTGTTTTCTCCCCCCCCCCGGGCTTTAGCGAGGCGTGTTCTCCACGGGTACGGGAGAGGAGTTCGTGGTGGAGCCCGCGCGGAACGGGACGGACCGGCCGCCCGCCCCGGGGCACCCGCATCTGGTCTACCGACGCTCCGCACTCAGGACGCACGGCACCGACCCGCCATGCGGGGTTAAAGGTACGTATCACCATGGTAACGGCTAGTTTCACCATGGTAACGTTCTGTATCACCATAGTAACGCACCGGCCGCCCGTCCCGGGACACCCCCACATGGTCTACCGACGCTCCGCACTCCGGACGCACGGCGCCGACCCGCCCTGTGGGGTTAAAGGTACGTATCACCATGGCAACGGTCTGTATCACCATGGTAACGTTCTGTATCACCATAGTAACGCACCGGCCGCCCGTCCCGGGAACACCCCCACCTGGTCTACCGCCGCTCCGCACTCAGGACGCACGGCACCGACCCGCCCTGCGGGGTTAAAGGTACGTATCACTATGGTAACGGCTAGTTTCACCTTGGCAACGGTCTGTATCACTTTGGTAGCGGTCGGTATCACCATGGTAACGGCTGGTATCACCATGGTAACGGTCTGCATCGCCATGGCAACGGTCAGTATCACCATGGCAACGACCTGGCTTAGAGTTCAAGGTCAATATCACCGAGGTCAAGGTGAACTTGAATCACCATGGTAACGACAAGTTCTGTGGTGTTCAATGTCCGAATCACCATGGTAACGACCAGCCCTCCCGGAGGTCAATTTGAGACATGTTCAAATTACCATGGTTACCATGTAAACAGGAAATAACATGTGTAAGATGGATTGGATCTCACCAAAGGTCAGTAGGTCACTGGGGCAGGGGTGAGTGGGGATGTCCTCTCTCAAGCTGGGAGAATCTTATTGGTCTACAGGCTACAGAGGTCGTGGGTCAGAGGTCACAAGTTAGGGTCAGCTTCAGAAGTGATGGAGCAGGCTGGACATGGCATGGGCACAGGACAGGGGTCTGTGGGGTTGTGGTCTCTTTTATTATTTCCCCAAGTGGTAAGAAGTATGTCTATAGTGCCCATCTGTCCACTGTGACCATGTTCTTGAGGTTCGTTGAATATGTTGGACTGTATCTAGCAGTAATCTGGATGGAACTCCAGTTGGTAGAGGATGAGTCATGTTGGCAGCTGACTATTTAGTTTGGCGATGTTCCTCCCGACAACATGGGAGGCATGTCAGCGCTGACAGGCAGGCTGGAAGGCTTTCAGCTTTGACGTTCAAAACAAAGTCAGGTGGAACGTTCTGTGCTGATTTTCTTCTCAAACAAGTTATAGATATGGCACCACCGGTATGTGAAATATCTCTAAATTTATATTCTTCAGTTTAGCAAACAAGATGCTGTACCTTTGAAAGGGGTTATGTCAGAAAAAGGTGATTTGTTTTCTTCAAAAATAAGGAAACATAACAGTTACTGTTCATCCAGTGTTGAGGTTTTACAAATTTCCGAGTCCAAAATTGACCAGTTCATTTTTTTTTGTGTCAGAAATTATATTTCAAACCTGTTTCAGGTCTTTTCAAAATACAATTTTATCAGTTGTTGTTGTAGTACCCAGATGTCCTGCATCCCTCCGCTGTTTTGGGTTGATGTTGGTTCACATCTCAGATCACCCCTCGTCAGCTCGGCTCTGTTACAGCCCTGCACTTGTATAAGCAGGAGCAGGGACGAGTGTTTGTGGATCTTACACTTCACTGTCAAGTTCATGGCTCAGGATCAACTCCGTTGTAGGAACCAGCTGAGATCAGAGTCAATGTTTTCTTTGGTTCAGCGTAGAGTCACTTGTTTTTGTCATATTCGTTTCTGTCATGAAGCTAAAAAGGTTTTCGTGATTGGTAATCTCCGTATTTTGAAAATTCTGTGTACAGAAATATTGTTTTGTGTGGCTGAGCTGTGGGTTTATGTGTCTGCATGTTTAATTTGTCGAGACAAAGTCTAGTTGAACAACACTGTGGGGGCAGATTGACAGATAAAACAACAGGTTAAAAGGTCAGACTTAGGAAATGAGGGATTTTGAAGGTCATGAAAACGTAAAACACTGTCTGAAATCCCTGATTTCTTGTATCCAATTTTGAAGATTGACTAAAAGACTATTGTAGGTCTCCAAGCCTGGTTGCATGCTTATTAACTGTTATGATTATGAACAGTATAACCATCATTAAGACTAAGAAAAATTGTTTCTTCTCCCACTATTCAGATCATCAGCACACGGACCATTTTGGGTCTCCCACTGGCGATGCACATCACTGGCGCGGGTCTCCCACGGGCGTTCCCCAGGCCGGGTCTCACACCGGTAACCACAGCCGGCACAGGCGGTCCATCAGTAGAGACCACACGGTGGAGGTTCTGGTGGTGGCCGATAAAATGATGGTGGGATACCACAAGGCTAAGAACATGGAGTCCTACCTGCTCACTATCATGAACATTGTAAGTACACATGCAGTGGACAGGTACAGGGGATATACACTAATAGTCTATATTACATACTGTCTTAGGAAATCATATCATATCTTGAATACCAAAGTTCTTTGATCACAACCATTTATTTTTCACGAGCCAACGTTTCGATGACCGTCTGTCATCTTCATCAGGGCAATTCTGACTGGTTTGCTGTGCGCTGACACTAGATGTTACTTGGTGCATAGTGCACTAAAGGTGTTACATAGTTCATAGTGCACTAAGGCTAGTTTTTTTTCTAGCGTCAGTGCACAGTAAACCAGTCAGAATTGCCCTGATGAAGATGACAAGAGGTTATCTCCAAATCCCAGCTTTTGTCTTCTCTGTCTTCATCGACGAGTGGAAAAATAACACTTTTCTTTTTACTTTTCTTTGTCATTTTTTCTATCATAGTTCACACTGTCTTAAAAATCATATCTTCTAACTGACCTTATTTAAAACATTAATAAATTTTAATTTTTAAATGAAAATGTGCTACTGTAAGAAATAAAAAGGGTGATGTCTTTTTGTGAAGTGCTCATAATTTCAGTCACTCTCGTTTGAAGCTGAAATTGTGCAATCGATAACTTGCAAAAGCAACTGGTTGGTTCTATCCTTCCAGTCTGTGTGTTGTTTTGTTTATTTGTTTACTTGTTTTGTTTATCTGTTGTGGAGGTCAGGTTGCTAAGCTGTACCGGGACGCCTCCATCGGAAATCTCATCAACATCGTCGTGACGAGACTCATCCTCATCACCGGTAACCAGGTAAGTAACAAATAAACAAACAAACAAACAAACAAACATTTATCATCATCACCAGCAACTAGGTAAGCACTAAACAAACAAACAAAGAAAACAAACACATATCATCATCACTAGCATCCAGGTTATGTGTTATAGATGTGCACTCTATCAGCATGCTTGCTGCCTAGTGCACACTTTGTTACAATTCTGAATAAATAAATAAACAGTGTGTGCTGCCTGTGTGCTGATTGTGTGTTATTTCCCGCAGCCAGAGTTGGAGATCACGAACCACGCTGACAAGTCGCTGGACAGCTTCTGTAAATGGCAGGAGAGCATCCGGCCTCGCAAGGACGATTATGGGATAGCCGACCACGATAACGCCGTCCTCATGACCAGGTAGGGCACAGCATGCTACATCCAGAACTGTGCTTTATCCAGAACTGTATGTTATCCAGAATCATGCTTCATCAAGAAACATTCTCAAGCAAGGTTCTAGAAGTCTTTATCCAGAATCATGCTCAAGCAAGCTTCTGGATAGTCCATGTGCATCCAGAACCGTGCTTTATCTAGAATCATGCTTTATCTAGAACTGTGCTTTATCCAAAACCATCCTGCTATATGATTCTGGATAGTCCATGCATATCCAGAACTGTGCCTGGGACAATTCTACATTTTTGCATGGACAAGACCTTACCCTAACCTATTCATTCATAGAACTGGATAGGCATGGTTCTGGATATGCCATTATGATACTGCACAGTGTAGACTTCCAGTGCTGCACTATCATTAGTTTACACCAGTTTCATTTGATAGTTTTCCTTTTTCTGTCCTTCCAGACTCGACATCTGCACCAACAAGAATGAGCCATGCGGAACTCTGGGTGAGTTTTCTTTCTTAAGAACTCTGTGAAGTAACCTTAAAAAATCCATCCTTCAGTTTCTGCAGGTTTAATAATACTTACAGAGGTTTTTTTTTCATTCTTTGTTTGTCTTGAATTTTTACAACATTTATGAACATTGTCTAACATTCATCAAGATTATTTAAACATTGCTTGTGAAAATCAGAATGAACAGAGCTTGTGCCAAATTTGGCATGGCCTCATCAGCTCTAGGAGTCTGATTGGTTGATGCGTGACCCTGTTGCCATGGTAACTCGTCCGCAGGCCTTGCGCCGGTGAACGGGATGTGTAAGGAGGCGAGAAGCTGCAACATTAATGAAGACATCGGGCTGGCGTCAGCCTTCACCATCGCTCACGAGATGGGACACAAGTAAGACAGACTTTCCTACACATGTACTGGCTTAATTTGACCCTATAAAAAAGGAGTGTAGGTATAAGAGCGCCATGGTGTGATAAGAGAAGGTACTGCATACCATTGGCATGCAGTAGGGACAAATGACTAGACATGTAAATGTAATCCATATGAAACATGAAATGACAAGCCTGTTTTTTCTCTGCAGTTTCTGAAAGCAGCATTATAAAAATATGGCAGTTTTGGGATGCATGAGTGAATGAATGAATGGGTCAGTAGACAGGCCTGTCATTCCCCAACAATTTTGGAATGCAACATGATGAGAATGAATGAGTGAATGAATGAGTAAGCAAATGAATGATGTGCCTTTCATTCCCTCAGTTTTGGAATGCATGAGGGAATGAATGAATGAGTAAATGATAGATGTGTTGTCCCCCCCAGTTTCGGGATGCAGCATGACGGGATGGGTAACGAGTGCGGGCTGAACGGTGAACCAGCCCGGATCATGGCAGCACAGCTCACCCGCGACGCTCATGAATGAGTGAATGAATGAATGAGTAAATGATAGATGTATTGTTCCACCCAGTTTCGGGATGCAGCATGACGGGATGGGTAACGAATGAGTGAATGAATGAATGAATGAATGAGTGACGAGATGAACTTCCTTTTGTCCCTCCACAGTTTCGGGATGCAGCATGACGGGATGGGGAACGAATGAGTGAATGAATGAGTAAATGATAGATGTGTTGTTCCCCCCCAGTTTCGGGATGCAGCATGACGGGATGGGGAACGAGTGCGGGCTGAACGGAGAGCCGGCGCGGATCATGGCAGCACAGCTCACCCGCGACGCTCAGCCTTTCTCCTGGTCACGATGCAGCAGGGAATACATCACCAACTTCTTAGAGTAAGTCTTCATCTTATAATGAATCTTTATTTGCATGTTCATGCCCATGGGGCTAAATGCATACATCAGAGTGTGATGTTACATGTACATCATACTGAGTAACATGATACATAGGATACAAGGATAACAGAATAACAGAATGACGTTGTCCAACAACTACTAAAGAATAAACTAATCTAGGCCTTGTGTTTTTATGATGCCATCAAGGGGGTCAAAGGTGCCTGGAAGCTTGCAAAGTTCTGACCTTGAAGGGTTTGACCTTGACTGTTTGTAGAGTAGGGCTCTTGTTCTAGAAACTCCACCCAGCTTGTGCAAAGTTTAGAAAGTGTTACTGTTTTTTATTGATCTAAACAGTTATAAAAACCTGAATTTGCCTCTTTTTTACATTGTAGAAAGTCTGATTGTCTCGAATCTAATTTCCATGCCCCTCTCCCCACACCTGTGTCCACAGTAAGGGCCAGGGCCAGTGTCTGCTTGACACCCCTCCCAGACTGGACTTCGAGTTTGAGCCAGAGATGGCGGGACAGACGTACAGCGCAGACAAGCAGTGTGAGCTACAGTACGGGTCAGAGTCACGACACTGCAATCTCGAGGTGAGAACCTTGTTTGTTTGTTTGTTTGTTTGTTTGTTTGTTTGTTACATGGCTGTAATCTGGAGGGACGAATAATGTGCTATTGTCTGCTTTCACCGCTGTTTCAGCACCAGGGACAGGACCAACACCCCAAAGTTTTCAGTTCCCAGTGAGCTGAGCTTTCTGTTGCTGAAACTGGCTCCGTTAAAACTTCTCAGAAAGAGCAGATAAAAGACTGTCTGTGTTTGATAAAGTATAAACAGTTTTTCTCAGTGTTTTCAGCACTAAGGACAGGACCAACACCACAACATTGAGCTGAGCTTTCTGTAGCTGAAACTGGCTCCGTAAAACTAACTACAAACAGCTAAAAAGCAGTTACTCAAGCAACTGGATATGATTTTGGAAACGGCCAGACGTTTCAGCTAGTATCCACTAGCTTTCGTCAGTGAGGATACTAGCTGAAACGTCTGACTGTTTCCAAAATCATATCCAGTTGCTTGAATAACTGCTTTTTGGCATATCGTATTACCAGGATGTCTAACCTTCACCGACCTACAAACAGCTAAATTTGAAGCTAGTGGTTTTCTTTTCTCCATGTTTGCCCCTCAGAGTGAACAAATGAAAGTATTTGATTGTACAAATGAGTGTTTTTCTCCATGTTTTTCAGGACACGTGCCGAGAGCTGTGGTGCATCAGTAAGCAGGGCCAGTGTGCGACTAACAGCATTCCTGCTGCAGAGGGCACCGACTGTGTCATCACTGGGGAGCCACAAGAGACCAACAGGGGGGTAAGCAACTAGGGGGGTAAGCAACTAGGGGGTACAGGGGGGTACAGGGGAGCCACAGGAGACCAACAGCGGGGTAAGCAACTAGGGGGGTAAGCAACTAGGGGGGTAAGCAACTAGGGGGGTAGGGTACAGGGGGTATGGAACTAGGGGGGTAGGGTACAGTGTGTGTGTGTGTTTGTGTGTGTGTTTGTGACTGTGTGTGTATGTGTTTGTGTGTGTGTGCTTGTGTGTTTGCATGTGTTTGTGAGAGAAATGAAAACATAGAAAAGGACTTTTCTGAAGAAGATTTTGTGAAAATTGGTTGCATGGAAGCACAGCTTTGTACAGTCCAGTCAGTTTATGCAGTTTAAAACTATATACTACATGTATTAGCCTACTTCTTGATAACAAATTGTCTCCACAAAAGCATGTTGTTCAGAAGTCTGTCAATAGGGGGCGCTGTTGAATTGTGAAAGGTGCATGGGTGACTTTTGAAGTTTCAAATTCTTTTGCTGAGGCTTTAATTCTATCCTTTAAGCCTTGAACACAGGGGCATGAGGGGGAGGGGGGCATGTTCTGACCTACGAGGTCACATCAAGGTCACTGCTGAAAGGTCACAGGTACAGATGGACCAGATGTTACTATAAATAGCACCCTAAAATTAGAACACTGTTTACAACAGTATAAACATGCTTATGACTTCCATGTGGGCTCAGTGGCTTTAAAATAATTACATCATCAGGGATGTTTTGTCTGAGAATTTCTTTTTTTGCTTGACTGTCTTGTTCATCCCTGCTGTGTTCCAAGTTTATGCAGTATTTTAACTTTTTTGTAACCGGGAGGTCGCGAGTTCAAACCCCGGCCGGGTCATACCAAAGACTTTAAAAATGGTACACACTTCTTTCTCTGCTTAGCACTCAGCACATATGAGAAAGAGTGTGGGAAGGTCAAACACACAGCACTACCAGCGGACCAGCCCCCTGCTGTAGTGCATTGCACAATTGTGTGTCGCCCGAGGGCTACGGAAATGGACATGGGCACCACCCCTATGCTCTGTATGAGAGCACGGGAGACCTTGTGCAACACATCCCACCGCAGCGAAACACAGTGAATGTGGAAGTAACTATGACACTGCGGGGCAAAAAAAGTCATGGATCTGTGACCTGGTTAAGACTTCAAAAATGCAGGCAGGACTAGCCTGGGTACCATCCTACTTGTATGCCGGGGCTCCCACACTCGCTTCCCTAACAAGTAGTGTGGGAGCCCCGGCATACAAGTAGGATGGTACCCAGGCTAGGCAGGACAAGGGTAAGATAACTTAAAAAATGTACATCTGATTGCTTGAGACTGGCTGGAGGGTTTCAAAGCCAGATGCTGACCTGACTTCTGCTCCTGAAGTCAGGTTTGGGCAGCCCTAATGAGCCTGGCTGGAGGGCTTACCTAGCCTCTACCAGGCTTCCCTAGCCTCTACCAGACTTCCCTAGCCTCTACCAGGCTTACCTAGCCTCTACCAGGCTTCCCTAGCCTCTACCAGGCTTCCCTAGCCTCTACCGGGCTTCCCTAGCCTCTACCAGGCTTCCCCTAAGCCTCTACCGGGCTTCCCCTAAGCCTCTACCGGGCTTCCCTAGCGTCTACCGGGCTTCCCTAGCGTCTACCGGGCTTCCCTAGCCTCTACCAGGCTTCCCTAGCCTCTACCAGGCTTCCCTAGCCTCTACCAGGCTTCGGGAGGTGGCTGGAGAGAGTGAAACATCGGCCAAATAGAGAGATAACATGCCGGGGGAGTTTGTCTGCTGGAGAGAACAGTTTGGGTGCCTCAAAATGTACTCTCCAGCAGACCAACTCCCCCGGCATGTTACCTGTCTATCTGGCCGATTTCTATTCTTTCCAGCCGCCTCCCGAAGCCTGGTAGAGGCTAGGTATTTCCCCCAGTCAGATTTTGACCTGACAGTTGCTCCTGAAGTTGTTTGTGCTGCCTTGATGATCCCGGCTCTCCCACCAAATGTACATAAGTCTTACTCTCTATCAGACCAACTCCCCCGGCATGTTATCTCTTGATTTGGCCAATTTCTACTCTTTCCAGCTGCCTCCCGAAGCCTGGTAGAGGCTAGCTCAGTAGCTAACCTGAAAGTCGCTCCTGAAGTCAAGTTTTCACGGCCCCAATGATCCCAGCTCTCTTGCCAAATGTTCTTACTCTCTATCAGACCAACTCCCCTGGCATGTCATCTCTCTATTTGGCCAATTTCTAACTTTCCAGCCGCCTCCCGAAGCCTGGTAGAGGCTAGTGAGGACAAGTTTTTGACCTGACTGTCAAGTTTTCCCAGCCCTGATGATCCTGGCTTTCTCGCCAAATGTGGGCCATCTGTCTCCCTCCCGCAGAATGCAGCCGGCGGGAACTGGAATGTCGGCTGGGAATGTTTGGGAACGTCTTCTCTCCGCTGTTTGGAAATGTTTCGTGCCCAGAAGCCAAAACACGGATCCATGCTGCATGGTGGCCTGGGAAGGGCTGTTTGGGCAGATGGAACACAGTTTTGTGGATGCCATCCTCCTTAGAAATATTGAAAAAACAGTCAAGAAAAACCTACAAAGTCCTATCATAGAACACGGGTTGAATCATAGAATTTCTCAATTATTTAAATATGTAAATCAGGTCCTGATTTGCATACAGTAATTGCCATCTAATTATGATGATCAATCAACTTCTTCTTGAAGAATGTCTATCAAAGAAAAAAAAACATCAGATTCTGAAAACTTAACAAAGAGCAAGAGAAAAGTTTAAACCTGAAGAATCAGTAATGTTAGGACAGGAATTTAAGTGTCACTCAGAACATTACGGTAACGTTTACCGTATTTGGAACAGGGCAAGAACATTTTCCAAAGAGTTTAAGACACAACAATTGGGCGTGAACCATAATATTCCCCTGATATAGCAGGGGAAATTAAAAAAAAAATAGCCCATAGGGCCCTGTAGTTGTATTGAAATCCAATATACATTTGTCAATGAGTGATGGGCTTGAACCATGTTATTCCCCTGATATGGCCTTTAGGCCCTGTAGTCGACCATGTGGAGTTAGTGTCTGTGAACCATGTTATTGCCCCAGTGTGGCCTGTAGGCCCTGAGCGTACACATGTAGCTCACCATGTGGAGTTAGTGTCTGCTTCCCATCAGCATGACTTACAGCCCGGAGCAGACAGTTTACCACCAGTCTGACCCACAAACATCCTCATGGCTCTCACCGGGGAAAGTGGTCCGCACGCTCCTTGGAAAGTAAAAGTGGTCCACGCGCTCCTTGGGAAGTAAATGTCCTTGGAAAGTAAAAGTGGACTGCGACTCCTTGGAAAGTAAAAGTGGTCTGCAGCTTCTTAGAAAGTGAAAGTGGTCCACGCGCTCCTTGGAAAGTAAAAGTGGTCCGCAGCACTCCTTGGGAAGTAAAAGTGGTCCACACGCTCCTTGGAAAGTAAAAGTGGTCCACGCGCTCCTTGGAAAGTAAAAGTGGTCCACGCGCTCCTTGGGAAGTGAAATTGTTCAGCGCACTCCTTGGAGTAAAAGTCTGCAGCTTCTTGGAAAGTAAAAGTGGTCCGCGGCTACGGAACAAGACGTTAGTGAACGGACAATGTCCATGATGGTCGTGAGCGGATAAACAACGACACACGATGAGTGGCCAGGTGTTGTTGTTGACATTTGTTGTTGTTGTTGTTACGTTGCAGTGGTGTTACCAGGGCGACTGCGTACCGTTCGGACACCGGCCGGAAGCGATAGACGGGGGCTGGGGACCGTGGTCCGACTGGAGCGCGTGCACGCAGACATGCGGCATCGGGGTATCCTTCTCCGAACGGCACTGCAACGAGACTGCGTGAGTCACTGCTAGTTTTTTCTAGCTTTAGCAGAACATCTTCTCAGTGCAGGAAGCATTCTGAAACAGGTTTGAACCATAATAATTCCCATCTCGCTTAACCAGATTGAGATTGCTACTTTTGTCTAACCTTTGCAGAACATGTTCTCAGCATTGCTCGAAAGTTCTTGGTAGCAATCATTCTGAAACAAGTTTCAACTGTACTTAACCAAATTATTTACTGTCAATGAATGAATTGAGCAATCAATGAGAATGTTAAATGCATGTTCCAAATGCTGTTTACACCCAATTAAGGCATTGGAAACTGCTAGTTCACGAAAATAGAGTCTGACGTTCCTACCCTTTCTGCTGGTTGATTTTTATGTTCAAGATATGTCCCAGCCAGCATAATGGTAAGACATTACTAGAAAGTTGAAGTATGATGGCATCAAATGCTTAAACTTTGGAAACAGACCTATGAAAGCATTATGATATGAAGTCTTGTATGAGAACTTCCCCATCTAGAATAACGTGACTTCTCCCACCCTGAAAGTTTGGACCTAACTGTGATTCCCCTTCTGTTGTTCCAGCCCTGCCCATGGAGGGAAGTACTGTGTGGGGGAGAGGAAGAGATACAAAACATGTAACACCATGGTGAGGGCATTTTCCTTTCTTTTTTACTTCTCTGGGTTTTATACTTTGAAACTTGTTCGATATCTCCCATTTCACTTAACGAGTATTTTTTTTCGTAAATTTTTTGGTAAAAACCTTTGTAAAATTGCTACAAGTTCGTTGCTTTCCTGTGGCCTTTTTGCCACCTGTTTCAGCCTTCATTAATAATAACAAATAATTCTTGTCATAATTTTTTATCAAAACCTTTGTAAAATCCTCCATAAAAAATAGATCAGGTCTTAACAAGTTGCTTTCCTCCTACTTTGTGTCCAGAAATGTAGAAATCTATGAAAGAAGTTAGTTGTTCTTGCAGCCTGATTTTCCCCCACCTGTTTCTGTTGTCACCTGCCATGCCTGTTATTCTGTAGAACAAGAACCCAGGGTCGGGACCCTTCCTGCATTTCCTACAAGTCACACAGCTGTCAGAAACTTCCGCTCAAAACAGACTTAAAGAGTCCAGAAGTCACAGGAGTCATGTTATAAGGTCCTGATGTGTGACTCATAGCTTAAACATGCTGAGTCATTATAGCCTGGAGTCCAGGCTTGTTAGGATTAGTCTACTCACCAAGATCTACTATCCCACTACAAGAGGGCCTGCATTAGGGGCGTAGTGATTACAAATTACGCAAAATTTTTAACACCAATTGCGAAATACGTTTACTTAAATTCTCAGAGCTGATTCCTAACAGTTACACGTTACAGCTAATGTACTGATTATGAATTACCATTATGACTTTAGGCGGCTGCCTACGGATTATGAAGACTAAAAGAAGCCCTTCCTACAGGCTAAAGGCTGCACTCCAGGCTAAAGTTCTGGGAACTAAAATTCTCACCTGACCAAAGGGTCTAATAAGTATTCTCTAGTACACTATGTATTCTCTATCGGGATTGGGAAAGAAGGACTCAAAATAATTATCCACACCCTTACCACAGGCAAACTCAAGTAGAGGTTTTGGTTTTGGCTTAATCTAGATAAATTTTGGGTTGTCTTAAAAAAAGATTCCAGATTCCCAATTAAAAAGCCTAAAAACATTGCCTAAGTCAGGCCAAAATCAAAACATCTGCATGGAGAATAGATTTTTTTAGCATCCTAAAAATCCAATCAAGACTTTCTCTTTAAAACTGCAATTAATAATATTTCATTCAGATTTAAGCAGAACTAGCCTAAGGATTTTTTATGTCCAAAAGTAACGTTGGGGTCATGCCTTTTCAAATGGCGTGTGAAGCAGTACATTCTGCTGGTAACAAGTCGAGACGGGGAACGGCCTAAACACGGTCTTTAAATCTGGGAAATGACTTCCAGATTTAGAGCTTGTTTTTTTCTTCTCCCACTTTGGGGTTGAGTTAGTTGCCAAGTGGGTGGGAGGGTGTATCGGTTATGGGATGTTTTTCTGCCGGAGTTTCGTTTATTTTCCTTTGACGGTTCGAACAAGATACATGAGAAATGTTGAATTCTTTCCAAGGTCGTGTTGAAGGTCGCTGACACCTGGTCTTCATTTGTTTTCATTTCTGACAGGAAGTCGTTAACGGTTAGTGATTTGACCTTCAGGCGCCCTTCTTCCAAAATTACACAAAATACACCTTTAATTAGTTAGGATGTTCATAATTTTGTGACATAAGGCCACACCAATTTAATTTGTTGGTTCTTGGATTTTTTCAGAAAGAATATGAAGCGACAGGGCGAAAAGAAATAAAAACAGGTCTAGGCATCCTATTATAGCCCAAATGTTACGATAGGAGCCATGAAGTCAACACAATTTAAGGCTGGGTTAATATTGAAACAATGAATTTTGAACTTTTAATCAAACCACTGCATTGACAGATGGAAAAACTGTAACAACTAGGAAGAAAAGGACTTTCCTCAACTGTTGGGGCAAAATACGAGCATTTTTGGGTTGATTCAGAACCAGAATCTTTTTTTTCTTCTGCAAATGAGAAATAAATGAAGAGGCGAATCCAAGAACCAACAAATTAAATTGGTGTGGCCTTAGGATGTTTTCAATTTTTGTGACATAAAGTTAGTATTAATCATGGAAAAAAAGTCATACGAGTCTTTGTTTATTTGTTTTGTTTATTTTTCTGTGAAATTCCAGGACTGCCCGCTGAATTCCCGCGACTTCCGAGAAGTGCAGTGCGCGGAGCACAACGACCTTCCCTTCCGCGGGAAGAGCTACGAGTGGAAACCTTACACCGAAGGTGACCTTCAACTTTAACCTTTAGTTAGAGAATCTCATCATAACAAACTTCAAGTTCATTCCTTGGATAGCAAAATGGCCTGTACAAAATTTGTTATGTATCAAAAATTTTAAGGTAACTGTTTGAGTTTATATTTATTATTTAAATTCTTTGTACTAGGTACATGTAACTTATTGGTAACTTTTATCAAAATTTGAGACTTTTTAGTTCATTCTAGATGAAAGTAGTCATGATCCTTCCCTAATGTACAGATGAAATGTATTAGTGAAGGTTAGACATCCAGAATAAAAACATCAATCAATCAATAGTTCATTTCTTGTCTTATAAGCCTGCATATAAAGGTTGTGGATACTAGCTGTGACCGTTTCCAAAATCATCATGCAGTTGCTTGTCAGAGTAACTGTCTTTTTGGCAAATATTACATCAGATGAAAAAGTTGACCTTTCCAAGGTGACATGTTCTGACCCCATGAGGACGTGACCTTATTTAATTGATCTAATGATTTGACCTTGACATGACCTTGATCTAATGCTTTGCCCTTGACCCAGGAGTTGACCCCTGTGCCCTGACCTGTCTGGCGGTCGGGTATAACTTCTACACGGAGCGGAAAGCGAAGGTCGTGGATGGAACGCGGTGTTCTAACGATCCGCTGTCGTTTGACATCTGCATTAACGGAGAATGTCGGGTGAGTTATGTCGACTTTCAATCAATCAATCAGTCAATCAAGTGGTTTATTGGCTAAATTATATCTATATAGTAAGTATTAATTTACATTCTTAACATTTATGGCAGCAATCATAGAAGAAATAGAGAAAAACAATATGTTTTCCTTCTGCAAAGATAAACATAATAATAAAACTTACACACCACAGATTTGGTGCGCCAATGTGTCAACATCAGCACATTTGCCAACAAGAGCCGTTAAGAAAAAAGAAAAATACACGTCAAACAAGCAAAATAATAATTCTAAAACCGTTTCCCCCCAGCTTGTTGGCTGTGACCGTCTGCTGGACTCGAACACGGTGGAAGACAAGTGTCGACTGTGTGGGGGAGACGGCAGCACCTGTGAGACGGTGTCTGGGGATGTGGACGGAGATCTGCCTAGGGGGTGTAAGTGTCGTTCTTTTGTTTGCTTCTTTCTTACTTCCTCCGTTCGTTCGTTTGTTCGTTCTTTCCTTCCTTTATTCCTTCCTTCGTTCCTTCCCTCCTTTGTTCCTTCCTTCGTTCCTTCCTGCCTTCCTTCCCTCCCTCTCTCATTTGCTGCGCTCACTCAGTGGCTTTATTTTGTGGTAGCTTTATTACACCATATTCACCTTGGGGCAGGTCATTAACCCTTAATTCTTTCATTCATGCATTCATTCATTCATTCACTCCTTTGTTCCATTGTTTATTCCTGCCTTGGGAGACATTTGTAATGACAAGAAATGTTACTTTCCATCATTAGATTTAATACATTTTGACCATTCATTCATTCATTCATTCATTCATTCATTCATTCATTCATTCATTCATTCATTCATTCATTCATTCATTCATTCATTCATTCATTCATTCATTCATTCATTCCTCCTTCCATTCATTCACTCCATGATTGCCCTATCATCCATATACATGTGTTTAAATCATCAATCAATTCATCCATCCATTCCCTCCCTCCAACTGAACGTGTAAAGTTCTGTAGTTACCCTGGGAAGTCCCTTAACTTAAGTTTCTTATAAAATTCCGACTTCCAAGACGAGACTGTCAAGATGTCTTGTCTTGGCTCACAGACAGGTCGGCAGATGAAAGGGAAAGTGGTCGGCATCTTAAAGATGAAAGGAAATTAAGACCTGCTGTGGAGTTAACTCCTTGGCAGGTTGTGAGGCCCAGTAAAAAGAAATGTTGTGTTTCCTGTTTCAGTCCTGAAAAAATCAGGGTTGGCAGATAGGGATTATCTTTTTCTTTCTTTCTTTCTTTCTTTCTTTCTTTCTTTCTTTCTTTCTTTCTTTCTTTCTTTCTTTCTTTCTTTCTTTCTTTCTTTCTTTCTTTCTTTCTTTCTTTCTTTCTTTCTTTCTTTCTTTCTTTCTTTCTTTCTTTCTTTCTTTCTTTCTTTCTTTCTTTCTTTCTCTCTCTCTCTCTCTCTCTCTCTCTCTCTCTCTTTCTTTCTTTCTCTCTCTCTTTCTCGCTCTCTCTCCCTCTTTCTTTTAGACCTAGGCAATCTCTGGTGATCCCACTTACACAAAATAGTTCAACAAAGTAAAACTTGCATGAGGACACTGTCATTTTCACTGTTGGACAACCAATTGTACAACATGTACAAAGTTTCGTCACTCAGGTGTAAGATCATGGAGCTAGAAAAGGTCGGTCAGCTTGAAAAATCCCTTGTCCACTTACATTATACTCACTTGTCCCTTAGGGTCGGCCTTTTTTGCTTGGGTCATTCGGGAAACAGGAAACACAACATTTTTCCCCAGGCCTGAGGAGCAGACAGTGTGATGTTATCTGTGAAGGTGGCTCTAATTGGTCTAATGTGTGTGTACAGGAGTGGAAAAACTCCGGTGGGAAGTTGTAAATTTGTCTTACCGCCGGGACTTTCCTACTGGGTTTGTCAAGGTGAAGGAGACTCAGTTGTACATAACCTGACTCCTATACATAATGAGCTGTTTCTTGGTCAAAAAGAGTCCCAAATGAAAAATGTAAGACTCAGGAAGGGAAAACTCCGGAGAAAAGTTGTAAATTTGTCTTCTCACTGTTTTTACTGGACGGAGAATGAGTTTTCCCATATATACTATTTACTATTATTTAAGATATCTGCTTGTGCTCCTTCTTGCATTTTTGAATTCTTAATTTCGAAAGAAGTGTGAAAACTGTACACCTTTTGTCTGAAAGTTTCTAACACCTGGTCTTTGATTCCAGCGTACCAGAAGATTCTGACGATTCCTCGTGGAGCTGTTCACATCAGGGTGGAGGAAAAACACATCTCTGAGAATTACCTGGGTCAGTATAGTCTAATATAATTATGATAATTATAATAATAGTATGTTTAGCAGTGCCAGAATGTTGGATAATCATATAATTATTAATACTACATCTGGAATCTTATAGGAAAAGAGATGAAACATGAAACTCTGAGACTAGCTGGCTGTCACCATGGTAACTGGAGCTGTAGCAGACATCCTGTGGTGTTGGGTTACATTATGTACATGTAGCAAGTTGAAGGGGCTGGTCAACATATACTTTGAAACTTTATTTGATATTTTGAAATTTTATATTACATGAAATAAATAAACAGAGAAGTAGTCACTGACGAAAGCTAGACACTAGCTGAATTGTCTGACCATTTCCAAAATCATATCCAGTTGCTTGATTAACTACTTTTTGGTGTATAATGTACTACCTGGATGTCTAACCTTCACTGACGTGTTAGCATGTATCTTAGTTTATAACTTATTTTCCCTGCTCTCCCCTGTCCCAGCCCTGAAGGGAGTAGGTGAGGACTACCACATTAACGGGGAGTGGACCATCGACTGGCCAAGGACGTTCAAGGTCGCCGGTACGACCTTCAGCTACGAGCGGCCGGACGGGGAACCCGAGTCCCTCTCAGCGCTCGGGCCCACTAAAGAAGTCTTGGAGGTCATGGTAAGGTGGCGATGGTTTCTCGGCATAGTTACATTTTGTATAATAAATCAAACATTACGTCTTCACTTACGAACTATCTGAATCAGAAATTGAATCAGAATTGCACTGACACCTACATGTGCATGTATTGTACTTAATTATAAACAAGCAGTGTGGGGATCGATGAAGGTCTAGTCCTTAAACATCAGAGACCATTAACAGCTGCTACTTAAGAACCTACAAGAAGTCATCATTGACTTATTGCTGAGTGTTCCCACAGATCCTACTGCAGGAGTTACTGTAATTTAAAGCAAACCAGGAGTTTCACTGCCAATATCTAACTTGTAACATTTCTGTTTGTAATTCTACATAGAATTACCTGGTAACAGAAGCCAATTATAATTGTAATTTGCTCTATTTGTGTTCTGCTTGAAATCCATGTAGAATCCATCTTAGACCTACTGTACCTGGATTATTATTATTATTAGTTTAAGGAGTTAGACTGGAAATCACATGTATATAATAAATCATATAGGAAGACCAGAGTGACTGATCAAAAGCTCTAGGTGAGAGAACTTTTTGTGTTGGATTGAAAGTTTTAATTTTAAACATGTAACTACCAACACAGATGAACTTTCATGATAGTATAAACTATATATTATAATGTTAAACCATTGTACTGTAAACCCCCATGTACTTCTAGATCCTGCTCCAGGAAGCTAACCAGGGGATCCGGTGGCAGTACAACGTGCCTCTGAGCGGTTTGGGCAGCGGGGACGGAGAGGTTCTCTTCACCTGGCAACACGGACTGTACTCAGAGTGCACCGCTACATGCGCTGGAGGTTTGTACATAAAATATCTTAGAGACTAAGCAAGAGACAAACGACAATGGATTGAACTGATCAACTCTTAGTGCCACTGTAGTGGAAGCTACCTGAAACGTCTGACCATTTCCAAAATCATATCCAGTTGCCTGTGAAATGAGTAACTGTTTTTGGCGTATCTTATTATCTGGATGTCTAACCTTCATCAATGTGTACACTGGTCTGTAAAGTTTAGGGTTAATCTACAGCTACTTTACAGCCAATATAGTACATAATATATATTGTGCCAAAATGTTGTATGTTGTATGTTGTATGTTGTACTTTGCCTATGTAGGTGTCTCCACGTCAGCGGCATTGTAGTCCAGGACCTGTAGTTTCACCAATGTTGTATAATCTCCAAGCAGATCCTACGGTGGCAAGACGAGTGTCCATTAGCCACCGTATGATCTGCTTATAGATTTAAGTGTTGTAATCCTTAAGCCTGTACATTGTGTAGTTTTCACCAGTGAGTCTGTACAAAATGTACGTCTGATGTGTTGTGTTGTTCCTGCTATAGGTGTGTCCACGTCTGCAGCGTTGTGTATCCGAGATGACGACCGGTCCATCGTGAGCGACTCGTACTGCGACCAGGAGACCAGACCCACTGAGAACACGCGCGCATGCAACGAGGACCCCTGTCCTGCACAGTGAGTACTGCAGCAAACATTTGTTCATCAGATTTCTAGATTTTGTGTTTGAAAATCAGTGTGAAATTTGGTGAGACTATTTAGTTCACTATACTACAAGGAGGTATTGTTTGTGTTAAATGTTACAGCTTGCCATATGATTTTCCATTCCAAAACTAGGTAAATTTTCTGTGGTGCCTTTTGTATCTTACCCAAAGTTCAGAGTTTAGCTGTAATAAGTGACAATAGATGATTGCATTAAGTCCATGTGGCCTGATTGAACATTGATGTTCTCTCGAGTTATAGCCAGTGAACAGTTTTTATCCTTAGATTTCTAGAGAAGTCTGTTACCATGGCATTGGAGGCTGTCATGACTCAGGCTTCTATAGTGACAGAGAATCCTAATGGCTCCTACTGGACTGATTTTCATTATGGCACAAAACCCCAAGCTCTTATTGGTAGTTGTTGGAATGTTTTTTTCAAGGCAGAGTTGAATCATCGGGTCAAGGGCGGTTTGGACCTTGATCAAACCTCAGGTAGTTAGCTGTGTGACACCGAGTCCTCATTTCAGTCTGTCAGTTTTGCAGAGGTGGCAACACATGTTTTTTAACAAATCAGGTCATTGACCAAATCAGAGGTCTGACGGAGTGTTTGCAACAGAAGAAGAAGAAGAGGAAACGTAACAAAACTAAAAATGTTTTCCTTTGGTAAACATAAAATTTAAAATTACTGTAACAACAATTCACCGCCGCGTTGTTTTCCCTCAGATGGTACCAGGGTGACTCTATCAGTTAAAAGTATTACATTACATGATTATTGATTAATTAATTAACTAATTAATTAATCTCTCCCCCCAGATGGTTCCGCGGTGATTGGCAGGAGTGCAGTAAGTCATGTGACCGCGGTACGCAGACACGCGAGGTGTACTGTTACCGCACGGTCTCCGCGCTCGAGCAGGAGACCCTCCCGGAGACGGAGTGCCAGACACGCAAACCCGCCGGACGCAGGAGCTGTAACGACGACCCCTGCCCTCCGACCTGGGTCACAGGGGACTGGTCAGAGGTGAGGGAACAAAGTTTGAACATGTCTCCATTTGATATTCTAATAAAAGCTCATCTGTGTTTACTTGGTAGAATTCATAGTTATATACAATGTAGTTCAACCTTTGTTCCAACACAAGAAGGGAGCTCACCATAAATTTCGGTTGATCTCATCAACCTTCGTCAGATCAATTGCCTTACTGTGTGCCGGAAATTCTTTGTTCATAACTTACTATTCTTTTTTCAAGTTCACAGAAGTTCAGTCTGGATTCTTGTCTTCTTATGTAAAAAAACAGTTTCTCTTAACTTCTTGCTACCAGTATGATGCCTTGAAATTGTTTCCATCACAAATTTAACTGTGTCTTCGAACTTTGACCTTGTTTTCACACATTGACCTTTGCCCCCAGTGCACGCCGAAGTGCGGAGACGGCGAGATGACCAGGACCGTGTCCTGCATGACGACAGACGGACAGAACCTGACCCCTGACCGTTGCCCGGGTAACACGAAGCCGGCCAGCAGAGAGCGGTGTAATGCGGGAGACTGCCCGCCTCCGCGGTGGGTCAGTGGGCCGTGGAGCCAGGTGAGACCGCTGCCGGGATAACTTTTTTTCTATCATGTGCTAATTTAGACAATAGCCTGGATTGTAACAGTCCTGGCTAATCATTGGTTTACAGCAAAGTTGCAAAGTTCTAGCTACATGCAGAAGTCCTGGAGGTGGAAAGAAGATGCCAGACAGTCACGTACTCTAAGACTTGTCTTGAATGACTGGAGGTTGTTGTCAGTGATCAGGCCGACCACGTTGTCTGGAAGACTGTTCCAGATGTGTACTGCAGTATGTATGAAGGTTCTGCCAGTGGAGTGAGTTCTAGAGACCGGCACAGTGAGGGCATGTTTTACAGTGGAAAGATTGCTGCGGGTTGTGCGCCAGTGATTGTGTATGGTTGGGGAAGCATCTTTTTCGGGTCTAGATCTGGTATGCATGTAGACATGTGCATTTTATTCCAACATGTTAAATCACAAAGCGTGGTGACGGCACACTCAAGTTTTTCAACTTATTTTTATGCCGTCACCAACACAGGGGACAATACAATACTAATTTGCACCTGAGCGAAGTGAGGAAAGTCGTGTAAAGTGCCTTTCCCAAGGGCACAAGATTGGTGGCATGTCAGGACTCGAACCCGGGACTTCTTGATTCCTAAACTTTACAATTTCCCCCCCAGTGTTCAGCGGACTGTGGTAAGGGCCAGCAGAGGCGAACCATCCAGTGTCTGTCTCCGGTAACGGATCTTCCCGCGACCGACTGTCCGGTCAGCCTTCGCCCGCCCGAAATGCAGGAATGTGTCTCGCCCTGCGACTCAGTCAACATCAGCAACACTGGAGATGAAGGTTTGTTTGTTTACTTTGTTTTATTTTGTTTAAGCCTTTGTTTAGTCATGAATTTCTGCCTCAACGATTCAACTTGTTGTTGCATTACTACTTTGTACAAATATGATGAAAAATTGCTGACATCTCGCATGTATCTGTAAAGTCCCATGTGAATGTGGTCATGTGTATGTAACTAATACATCATGCAACTTTTGCAAGTTTATGTTCGGAAGCGATTGGTCATTTATTATTCTGATAAGGCAACAGTGGTCGTTGAAAATTTGATCTCTGTGTAATTAAGTTTACTATGATGATTACTACCAACATGAAATTTCATGATATTATGAAAAATTTCTGTACATTTTTTGTCATAGACAATCTTGAAATTGATGATTTTATTACAATTTAAAGTTGATTCTGATTGTAATTTTTTTCCTGTAATTTTCAGATTGTAAGGATGTGAACAAGGTTGCCTACTGCCCGCTGGTTCTACGCTTCAAGTTCTGCAACAGAGAGTACTTCCGGCAGATGTGCTGCAAGACCTGTAAAGAAGTCAACAACCAAAATGGCGGCTAGGTACACTCAAACACCCCTCAGTGTTATATGGAAGGACATTGGGCCACACCAAATCAGTTCACTGTTTCTTTGAATGTCCATATTATACTAAAAAAAAATTGGAAAGATGAGAAGGAAACACAACAAAGTTACGAAAAATGTGAAAAGCAAAGTATAAAGTTTTTAAAGTCTCACACAGTATACATGGTCAATTTTGGAGTTGAAAGAAAATTATTGTGAGAAGCAATGAATTACATTGGTGTGGCCCACAGTGTAGTTTAACCACTGGCTACTATCATGATGTCTGTTCATAAGTATAAGATATGCCTGTATGACAGCCAGTGGTTTACTGAGGACTTGAAAATTAATTGTACAGAAATGAATGAAGAAAATGAATGTTGTTCAGAGTTTGAGGTATTTTTCTTCGAGCCTCCCTCAGTGTATTTATATTTAATAGGAGTCAGAAGTGTACAGTTTATGTTGTGTGTGTGTTTTGCATTTTTGACAAAAGTGCAAACTGTTTATTATTATGGTTAAGAAGTAAGAAGAGCAAGCGCTCGTATTTGAATCTAAAATTCTGACAAAATTAAGGTCAGAATAATTGATATGAGATAATTGTTATGAAGAATAGTATATCGATGATGCTTTGGGTGAAAAATTTCATCCAAAGAAGATTTTGCAAGCAGAAAATAATGCTTGGATGGAAGTTTTGGGAAATGTCATGATACATTGTAATTTCAAAGAAAGACAGACAGTTCTAGCATAATAGATAGTTTTTAACTTCACCAAATATTTAATTTTATTCTCGCTTGACAGTAAATGCTTAAACTGCCATTCCGGTTTTAATCATAGAATTTAAGTTTTTGACGATAATTTCAGTTTAACTCATATGTAATTTATATCTACACAAATAATGTTGCTCATAACTTAATCATAAAAGCATCAATAAGTAAAGTTATTGACCAAATATCATAATTATGAATCATATTTGATAATAGCAACGCCTAATGCAATGATGATAGTCTAAAGTCTAACCTCATATTAATCTATATACATTATATATAAACTTTATAAACACACGTTTGTGTGATGTGCAGTTATATAATATTATGTTTTCACTTGTTGTGCCCTAATTTTAAATTGTAAATAAACAAATAATTGAATGATGTATCCTATTATAATATTCTATCTGCACATATTAAGAAATATGTGAAATAAGACTGTATTAATGATATAGTCATTTATTATGTAAGAAAGTTTGTTTTCAGCACTTTTAAAACATTTTTACCTCCAAAACAGACCAAACAGTTTGAAGACTTTTTGCAGCTGATCACTAAAAAAATGTTTTAAAATTCATGTTAAAGATTTCATGAAGGTAAAATGTCTCAAATTTAAATTGTGACAAGTTGACTGGTTTGTATCAAATCAGACGTTTGTCTTGTAGAATATTTGCATCTTTAATTTGACATTTTTGGGGGGTAAAATTGAATTTGCGACTTTTAGTATAACTATTTAAATCAATTAGACTTCATTAATTGATGCACTCTGGCCATGTTGTAAGCTCCAAAATAATAATAGCAGCACAGTTTTGACATAAAGTTTTTAGGAAGACATGTGAAAATGTCTAATTTCTAGTGCTGATGAGGTACACAGTGTCTTGTGTTCCATGTATAATAATACTCCAAAGAATTTAAACTACCACAACTTGCCACATTGTAAACCTTTTCCGTATTAGCAGTGGCCAGTGTTTAGTTAGCCTCCACCAGGCCTTTCTGGGGGGGGGGG